GAGACGACTCGACAGCACCCAACAACAGCAACATAGTACATCCATACAGTGGAATATTATTCAGTGATAAAAAAAAAAAACATGAGCTATCAACTCATGTAAAGACGTGATCACTGACTGCCGTCAAGGAGATTCTGCTCATAGCAACCCTATAGGACAGAGCAGAACTGCCCCATAGAGTTTCCAAGGCTGTAAATCTTTATGAAAGCAGAATGTCTTATCTTTCTTCCATGAAAGAAGCCAATCTGAAAAAGCTACATATTGTATACTTCCAGCTATAGGACATTTTGGAAAAGAAAAAATTATAGAGACAGTAAAAAAGCCAGGGGATCCAAGGGGAGGACATGAGGGACAAATAGTTGGTGCACACGGCATTTTAATGGTAGTCAAACTATTTTACAGATACTGTAATGGCAGACACATGACCTGATTCTGTCAAAACTGTACTGCACAAAGAACGAACTCTAATGTAAACTATGGACTTTAGTAATAATATTACTCATAATGCATCAACATTAGTTCATCACTTATAACAAGAGAGCAAAATGTTAAAAATAGGAGAAACTGTGTGCAGGGGAGAGGAAATAACGAGGACACTCTGTACTTTCTACGTAATTTATCTGTGACCCTAAAATTGATCTTAAAAAGGTGAAATTAAAAGAAAAAAACAAGCAAAAAGTGCTAATATGAATTGGATAAAACTATTATTATTTGTAGGTGCTATGACTCTGCATGCAAAAATTTCAATCTGATTATTGATAAACTTTAGAAACACTAAAGGAGTTTGGATACAAAATCAACATATGAAAATGAATTATTTTGCTAGATAGGTCAGAAACTTAAAAAGATGAATTTTTAAAATGATAGCATCTATGATAGCATAACAAAGAAATACCTAGGAATAAACCTAATGAAAGATGGACCTATTCAGAGAACAGTATAATATATTTTGACCAAGATATTCTACTCCTAGGTATAGATCCAATAGAAATGTTTTTACTGTATATACTTACCAAAAGACTTGTACAAAAATGTTAATAGAAGCACAATTTTTAGCAATCCTAAACTGTAAACATGTCTATCAACAGTAGAGTGAACAGCTAAATTATGTCATATGCATGAGTGGAATATTTTACAGCAATGAAAAAGAGATTAACTACAAACTATATAGATGAACCTCACAGCCATAATGTAGAAAGAAAGAAGTCAATTTATATTATTTCATTGATAAGATGTTCAAAAACACCCAGAATTGACCTATAAGGAGACAGGTCAATAGAGTGATTACCTACCTTTGGGGATGAGTGAGGAGATATAATTGGGAAAGTATGAGGTTAAGTACCCTCAACTATGTAATACCAACATAGGTGTGTTCACTTCGTGATGATCTATCAAGTGGGAAATTAATCATTTTCACAGTTTTTAAATAAGTGATGTATCTCAAAAAATTTTTAAAAAAACTGTTAGGACTCAAAGATATCTCAAATATCATTGTTATCTAATCTGATTCCTTCATTAAAAAAAAAAAACTTGTACAATGAAAACTCTAAAATATTACTGAAAGAAATTAAAGAAGAACGAAATAAATGGATGCTCATAGATTGGAGGACTTACTATTGTTAAGATGCCAATACTATGCAAAGCAATCTATAGATTCAATGAAGTTCCCATGAAAATTCTAGCAGCCTTATTTCCAGAAATGGAAAAGCCAGTGTTCAAATTTATGTGAAGCCACAAGGAACCCTAGGTAGCCAAAGCAATCTTGAAAAAGAAGAACAAAGTAGAAGGACTCATACATCCCAACCTCAAAACTAGTACAAAACTACAATAATCAAAACAGTCTGGTACTGGCATAATGATAGACGTGCAGACTAATAAAATAGAGTTGAAATCCAGAAATAAACCCTTACATCTATGGTCAATTGATTTTCCACAGTATGTTCAATGGGGAAAGCATAATCTTTTTAATAAATGGACAACTGTATTTCCACACATAGAAGTATGAAATTGTACCCATATGTCATATTATGTTGAAAATTAACTCAAAATGGATCAAGAACCTAAATATAACAACTAAAACCATAAAAGTCTTAGAAAAAAATAGAAATATTGTTTCATTTTCTAGTTTTTGATAATAGATTCTTAGATAATATTCCAAAAGCATGAACAACTAAAGACAAAAGACAAAAATTGGACTTTATCCAAATTTAAAACTTTTGTGCATAAAAGGAATTTATCCACAAAGTGCAGAGACAACATACTGATTCAGAGAAAATTTTGAGGAGCTATATATCTGAAAGATGTCTCTTTGAAGACTAAGTTGCACCTAACCCAAGCTTTTGTGTTTTCAATCGCCTCATATGCATGTGTAAGCTGGGTAATGAATAAGGAAGACCAAAGAAAAATTGATGCTTTTGAGTTGTGGTGTTTGTGAAGAATACTGAAAGTACCATGGACTGCCAGAAGAACTAACATATCTGTCCTGGAAGAACTGCAGGCAGAAAGCTCCTTGGAAGTGAGAATGGCCAGAATTCATCTCACCTACTTAGGTCATGTTGTCAGAGGGGACCATTCCCTGGAGAAGGATATCATGCTTGGTAAAGTGGAGGGTCAGCAAAGAAGGGGAAGACCCTCAATGAGATGGATTGACACAATGGCTGCATGGATGGGCTCAGGTATAGTAGGGATTGTGAGGCTGGTGTAGGACTGGGCAGTGTTTTGTTCTGTTCTACATAGGGTCACTATGAGCCAGAGGCAACTTGACAGCACCTAACAACAACAACAACATATATCTAAAAAGGGTTTAGTATCTAGAATATATAAAGAGCTTCTGTTGTTGTTGTTGTTAGGTGCCATTGAGTCGTTTCCGACTCATAGAGACCCCATGCACAGCAGAACGAAACACTGCCGGATCCCGCGCCAGCTCCACGATCCCTGCTATACTTGAGCCCATCATCGCAGGCACCGTGTCAATCCATCTCGTTGAAGCCCTCCCCCTCTTTCGTCGACCCTCCACCCTACCAAGCATGACATCCTTCTCCAAGGAATGGTCCCTTCTGACAGCATGGCCAAAATAGGTGAGACGAAGTCTGGCCATTCTCACTTCCAAGGAGCACTTCAGGTGCACTTCCTCCAGGACAGATCTGTTAGTTCTTTTAGCAGGCCATGGTACTTTCAGCATTCTCCGCCAGCACCAAAACTCAAAAGCATCAACTCTTCTTCGGTCTTCCTTATTCATTGTCCAGCTCTCACATGCATACGAGGCAATTGGAAATATCATGGCTTCTGTCAGGCACACCTTAGTCCTAAAGGAGACATCCTTGCTCCTCAGCACGTGAAACAGTTCCTTCGCTTCTACAACTTAATAAAAAGACAAACAATGCAATTAAAATATGGACAAAGGACTTTATAAATAGACATTTCATGAAAGAAGATATAAAAATAGCTAACAAGCACATGAAAAGATACTCAGTGTCATTAATCATTAAGAAAATGTAAATCAAAACCACAATGAGATACCACTTCACCCGTGCTAGGATGGATATGATTAAGGAATTAAAAAAAAAAAAAAAAAACAGAAAGAAATTGGATCCCTCATCCTTTGCTTGTGGGATTGTAAAACCCATACAGCTACAATTGCAGTTCCTCAAAAAGTTAAACATAGAATTACCATATGAATAAGAAATTCCACTCCTAGATATATGCCCAAAAGATCTGAAATCAGAATGCAAATAGATAATTGTATACCAATATCATTGCACGACAATCACCAAAATGTGGAAACAACTTAAATGTCTATCAGTAGATAAATGAATAAACAAAATGTAATACACACACACACACAATGGAATATTCCTCAACCATAAAAAGAACTGAAAACTTGATACATGCTGCAACATGGATGGACCTTGAAAACACTATGCTGAGTGAAATATAAGTCACAAAAGGACAAATACTGTATAGAGACCAAAGTTTATTAGTGGTTATCAGGGGTGAGTAGGAGGGAATAAAGGAAGTTATTGTCTGGAGGGCACAGAATTTCTATTAAGGGAGATGAAAAATAATAGTGGTGATGGTTACACAGCGTAATGAATGTAATTAATGTCACTTGCATGTAGAAGATGTTGAAATGGCAAATGTTTAATTATATGTATTTTTACCAGAATTTTTAAAAATGTGCAGGTTACAGTATCTCATGAAGATCAGTGACTCAGCTAGTAAATAGGGTCAGGAGTAGAGTCACCAACTTGTACTGGTTTGCCAATAATTATCCAAGTTATAACACTGGAAGTCCTAAATACTGGGAAACTCCTCAGCCCTAAGGAAAACCAGAGTGATTAGTCACCTCAATAGGTTAAGTGATTGATGCCTTCTGAATCCCAATGTACAGCTTCTACCTGCCTGTTTTGGTTCTGTTTGGCCTCTGGAGGAGATTGTGCCAAAATCCTCTCCACAAGCATCTTTGATAGAACTGGGATACACAGGCACAGTGGTTGCCACAGATGCCTATTTATTGTAGCCTTGATATCAGGCTTGTGTGGTGAGCACACTTGGACCCAGGCAGGGTTTCAACTGATCACTGAATCAGTCACCATCATGTGCCTCTCCAAGTGCACTTCCTAATCTAAGTACAGCCCAGGAGGAACAACTGGTCTGACCCTCCTAAGCCAACTGAAACTATTGCATGACCAGACGATGATTGGAGCAGGAGGATGCTGATGATGTGACCACCTTCCTTTCATCTGGAAAAAGTTTCTGTAAGTAATTCTCAATTAAGAAACATTAAACATTTATTTTCAGAAGATACATAACACTTAAAGAACAAACTCCTCCTTGATAATTCCCCCAATGATGATAGAAAACAACATGAAAAACAACAAGGAAAAGTCTTGCTTATTGGGTCAAACTTGGGCAGTCCAGTGTATAAAAGCCTCAGAAAGGAGTTCTCAGATCTGGGAAACTCACCTCTGAATAGAAACTCACTCTCCACACCTGACACCATGACCCACTCCTGTTGCTCCCCTTGCTGCCAGCCCACCTGCTGCCAGTCCACCTGCTGCCAGTCCACCTGCTGCAGGACCACCTGCTGCCAGCCCACCTGCTGTGAGTCCAGCTGCTGCCAGCCCTGCTGCCGCCCAACTTGTCAAACCACCTGCTCTACCACCTGCTGCCAACCAACTTGTGAAACCAGCTGTTGCCAACCTTCCACTTGCAGCACACCCTGCTGCCAGCCCACCGGCTGTGAGTGCAGCCCCTGCCAGCCTTGCTGCCCCCCTACTTACTGCTGCCAGCCAGCTTGCTCTGGCCCCGTGTACTGCCATAGAACCTGCTACCACCCAACCACCGTCTGCCTGCCTGGTTGCCTTCCCGAGAGCTTTGGGGCCGTCAGCTGCCAGCCCAGCTGCCAGCCATCCTGCTGCGAATCCAGCTGCTGCCAACCTTCCTGCTGCTGAGCCCCTCACCATGCAATCATCTACAAGGACCAGCCTTTTCACAACAAACCTGCCAGCTCCCCAGTTACTGCCACAAACTAGATCACCAGACATCGCTAGCATTCAGCATGCTATCTCATCTTCCTACTACTCATCTTCTTGATCAAAAGGCTCCCTGGGTTGTCCCTATAGGGTGCAGTTGACTTCACTCTGGTTTTCTTCTTCTTTAACTGTTGATCTCTCTGACAGCTGCAAGTCTTCTTCCAGCGTCCTTGAGCTGAAGTCATTGCTCAGTGTTGAAAAGCGACCACTGTTTTCTCCCCTTATATAACCCAAATATAAATTCGTATTATATTTACTCTTTCTTTATAATCATGTTTTTTCTCCCAATGTCTTATTTTCTCCTTTTCATGTTAACTTGGCATTGTCTTCCCAGCTCCAGGCAAACTTCCCTAATACCTTCCTAATCAAATCTTTGCTTTCTTCCAGTTTATATTATAATTTTTCTCTCTTATAAGGCCTTACAGTCATATGTTTTCCATAAATATTATCTTGAACCTGACAATGACCCCTAAAGTGGCAAAACCAAGATGATGATTTCCATCCTAGACATTAGTAAAGTGCTACAGAGAAAAGAGTGGTCAGAACACTGGGAATACATGTGCTGTGGATTGCCTGGCTAGCAGTGAAAGCAAACTTTCTGGAATGCAGATTATTTTTCTGTTTACACATGCACTCTGCAGTCTGTTTCCAAAACCTCAGTGAGCAATGAGGCTAGCAAGCTATTTCAAAAGCCATGCAATATATTTGAGCATCATTGTATTTCCAGCACTGTGTTAGGACATTTAAGCTAGAAACTCATCAAAAGAATACTTCATTCTTCAATGTCATGGAAATGACATTCTGGAATGGTCTCTTACATCTGCCCATGTAAAGTGTGGAAAATAAAAAAGGTATCAATAAACATGCCAGAAAACATTCCCTTGGGACAGATTTCATACACTCTCAAACTTTGAGGTAAGTTATTCTCCTGACCAAGACATTATTAAGAAAATTGAGCGTAGACACAGTCTTGGAATTGAGCTACTCTAACCACTTCATGGAAATTTTACCTTTGAGCGTTCCACAATCTCTGTGGGATTTTTCAGTATTGAATCTGATAACTACCCACTTGGCAGGAGTTTATCAAGGTCCCTTTCATCCTAAGTTTCATCCTAAACACTCTGTTCTGCCCAACCATTATTTGATTGATTGTTAACATGTTACTGTTCTCTGAAGTCCACAGCATTAAAATACATAAAACATTCCAAGGCATAATGCTTTCAAGGAAACCTACACAGTGCCAGGATCATTGGCATTCATCTGGAGAGAGGAAACAAAAGGGTTGGGGAGGGCTGTCTTTCAAAAGGCATTCACAACCATGATAAATTTATCAGGACCTTGGCCTTCAGCCTTGTAGACCTGATTTTTTTTTCACACACCAAGGATGAAGCCATTTCTTGGGGCAGATTCACATTCTCCAAGCCAATAAAGTAAAAATGCCTATTTATTGACTTACAGGCAAATGAAGTTTAACCAGAATGATAATCTTCTCAACCACCACTTTTTCTCCCTATAGAAGATTATTTTGTGAGCAAGGGAAGTAAAAGGAACCAAGTGTTTCATAGCATTTGATGCATCACTTCACAATAGGAATAGTGGAATTGGAAAACTCACAGTCCCACAACTAGCTCTTCTTCTTCTCTGGGTGATGCAGGACTGTGCACTGCCGATATTTGCCTCAGCACTTCTCTTAACTCTAAGTGTCCATCATTCACTAATATACCTCCAACCCCATTTCAATTTCACATCTTTTATAGCTTCAATCAGGTCTGAGTCAATTCTTCAGACTTGGCATATATTCTTTCTAAGGTGACACTGTAGAATTTGGTTTTGGTCCTTTATAATGTAGATTCCCTGTCTTGGGTGATATCTCACCCAACTTGTGTCTCCAAATTTCATTGCCTCCTCATTCAAGCCATTGCATCATGACTTTCTGTGACATAATTTATACTTCAGTTTAGTTTATTTGTACCATAATATCTCTTGGTTATCTATGATATTTCTAATTGCATTTTGGGATGGGTTGAGGTTTTTACCCTTTCCCTTCTTTTCCAATTATTAAAAAATTAAAAGAATCCTCTGTGATATAAAGTTGTCATAACAATGTTGGATTGACTCTTATTTTTCTTTTTCTTTTTTTTTTAATTGTGATTTGGGTGAAGATTTACAGAGCAAATTCACTTTCCATACAGTAGTTCACATACACTTTGTCTCATGACATTGACCACAATTTACCACAATGTAACAACTCCCCTCCCACTTCCTCCCAATAATTACCTCTTCCCTG